GGATAAGAAGCTTGGGGAGGAGAAAAACATAATTTGGATATTACTCACAAAAGCGAATTCTTTTAATAGTGTTAATGGATTACTAATTTGATGATAAGCAGTAACTCAGTAGGGCTGGGGTTACTCTTGTTACATGAAGTCTTTATGAGTCAAAATATAGATAGCATACAAAATAGCATATACTTAAGGACTTGCTATGTCACAAGTACTATCTTACAAGACACAGAAGCAATATGATTCTGTTAATACCCATTTTACAAATGACATTAATACACAAAAAAGGTTTTGTACAGCTATAAAGAAGCCATCAGATTTGAACCCTAAAGTGAGTCTGAGCTCATCCATTACTATCCATTTCTTGGTGTATACATAGTCTTAAGTATTTAAAAGCTGGCTAGATCCTTAGTTCTTTTTCCTGAATATCAATCCACATAAAACCTTTTATGCTTTATAAGTTTGTATGGATTCCAGTTACACATTTTCCAGTTTAGCTCAGGGAGTTGATTTTACGTCTCATTTTAATTTACACTTACGCTGATCATTGAAATAGATTGGAAAAAAAGAAAGCATTGTGTTATAAACACTGAGATTACTATTAGTCTCTGGCAGACTCATTCTATTCGTTCCTGAGCCAAAATTTGTTGGAGAGATAGCAGTAAATAAGACATAGCAAGTTCCTGCCCCTTAGGGTGGTTTTGGGAGCCCTAATAATGATACTAAGGACTTCTGGTGGCCTCTTAGTTACTGGGGCTGCTAATCACAAGGTACACAGCTCAAAACCACCAGTCATTCAGCAGAAGGATGGAGACACAGGAGCAGTACTCCCTTGTCCTGTACAGCACCGAGTCAATAGCTGGAAGTGTTTTGTTTGTTTAATGGTGCTGTGGAATAAGCATTGGACTGCTAGCCCCCAGCTGCTGCTCAGGAGGAAGATGAGACTGGCTGCGTCTGTACAGAATCACAGTTTTGGAAACCCTACATAGGGTTTCCACGATTCAGAATTTACTCAATGGCAATGGGTTTGCTTTGGTGTGGAATCTACTAGAACACATCTCTATGGCTTACTCCCACGGGGCCTCTGAGTATGTTTGAATTGCCAACCGTTTGGTTACCGGCTGAGCATTCAGCCACTGTACCACCAGTAGTCATTGGGTGGCAACAAAATCTGTTTTTCAATGGGTGACAATGAAAAAGTTTGAAAGCTGCTATTAGAGATGTGAGTAGAGATAGAGAAGAAGCAAAGCACTGAGCCTGGGATCACTGAGAGGTCTCAGGAGAATCCAGTAGAGAGGGTCAGGAGCAACCACCAGAGAACTTAACTCCACTGTTGTGTGAATTGCCCAATAACCGTGGACGTTTTCAGCTAGGATTCCTGAGACTTGCACACGTGCTTAGAATAATTTATAATTGCTGATGATTTGGTGAGATGGTTGTGGCAATAAAGTCTCATGCTTCAATTTATAAAATTATAAGTTTATAGAATAGTACTATTTATTATAAAGCTACCTTCTCTGAGTGTTTTCAAATAAGATGCCTTTATTGGTTCAACTAATACTTTTGGTTTCATGTACAATTCTCATACATAAATTGGAAATAAAATAATACGTAAATTATCCAGGGTTCACAAGGGTGAGGCAGGGAGGGAAAAAGAACTGATAAGGACTAAAGTATAGAAAGATAAATGTTTGAAAATGATGATGGCAACATGTACAAGTTTGCATGGTATAATGGATTTATGGATTGTTATTAGTAAGAGTCCCCAATAACACGATTTAATTTTAAAAAAAGATTGTGAGGATTAGAAGTAATGTTTAAACATGTTCTGTATGGACAGCAAATAGTAGATAATAAAATCTATGTACCTTACTA